TTTTTAAAAGTGTATATAAATACACACGTAATACATAATATCTCATACATAAATAGAGGTACATGCACGGGCAAATGTTGGGAAGAGTTATCAGTGGTTAGTGAGATTATAGTATTAATTTTTTTCCACTTTCTACGTTTTCATTTATTTGCACTTTCTACATTTTCTTTTCTTCCCCATGACCCTGTAGTGCTTTTGTTTTCAAAAGAACAGAAGAAAGAAAAGAAAAAAAAAAAAACCCTGTAAAATAATAGCTACGCATGTGTCTATCAAAATTGATTTGTTGATTAGTCTACAATGCCCAGTAGATTGACTTTATACTACAGGGAAACCTCTGGAGGCATTGAGGGTGTTTCAATGTTATCTTTACAAGTAGGCATGAATGTCAGCAGAGATAAATAACATTCCCTCTTTACTGCAGTTCTCAAAGAAAAGTAATACATGAGGCATAATTGCCATTGACATCTTCATTCTCTTGTATTTCAAGATTTCTTCATGAATCAACTGAAGAATGGATAAGAAAAATTATGGTATATTCATACAATGGAATCCTACACAATGATAAAGAACATCGATGAATCCGTGAAACATAACATGGAGGAATCTGGAGGGCATTATGCTGAGTGAATTTAGTCAGTCACAGAAGGACAAATATCGTATAAGACCACTATTAAAAGAACTCAGGAAAAGGTTTAAACATAGAAGAAATCACTCTTTGATGGTTACAAGGGTGGGGAGGGAGGGAGAGCGTTATTCACTAACTAGATAGTAGACAAGAATTATCTTAGGTGAAAGGAAGGACAGCACACACTACAGGGGAAGTCAGCACAACTGGACTAATCCAAAGCTAAAAAGTTTCCTGAATACAATCAAACACTTTGAGTGACAGAGTAACATGGGAAGGGATCTGGGGACCATGGTTTCAGGGAACATCTAGGTCAATTGGCATAACTAAGTTTATTAATAAAATGTTCTGCATCCTACTTTGGTGAGTGGCATCTAGGGTCTTAAAAGCTAGTGAACAG